ATTACTCTGAGGATGAGTGTGTTCCTTGAGCTGAAGAAATGTGACTCAGAGGTCCAAACTGGTACAGTATCTTGTTAACTGAGGTAAATACCATGATCATCAAAAAACTAATCCACCACGGTTTGCATACAAAGTATATCAGCCCCTTCATAGGAGGAGTCCCACTAGGCGTTTATAGGAAGAGTAATCCCCCTTCTTCAGAGTAAACAAGTGTTATCACAGCTTTTATCCAGTCCACTGGTTTAGGAATAATCTCCCGTGTGTCTGGTTCATACATAGATATCTATATTTGTTTAGTAGTGAGCTGTGAGTACTACATCAACAAAAATGTATTCTTCCATTTTGCAATATTCTAAGCCAAGGATGTTGTCCCTAAATTAGTGACTCTCACAATCTTTTTTTTTTTTAATTTTTAGTTATTTATTTACTTGTTTCATTTTTGGCTGCACTGAGTCTTCATTACTGTGCTCAAGCTTTCTTTAGTTGCAGCATGTGGGGGATAACGACTTCACACTATACACTCTGCTTTCAGTAGTTTCTTGGTCTTGCTCTCTTTCAACCTGGACAAACTTCTTAGTGACCAGAGGTTGTAGACACGCTGTCTGCTGTCCCAGCAAAAATGTTCCCTTCAGAAGTGGCCCTAAGACTGGCGACCACATCTCAGACTGGCTGAAATCTGAACTTGGTTCATCATCAGATTCTACTCCATCACTCTTCTACTTCCAGTTTAAGTATTACAGATAATAATAACCACAAATTGTAATGTAGCTTGCTTCTTGTTATTTTCCATTTCCTTATGTATCCAGTGAGCCAACTCCTCGGCATCTGAGTCTACCATTTCCAAATTCCAGTGAGAACTTTTACCTGTACCAACTGATCACAGTGCTGACATAGTTCCACACCATGGATAACTTGGTAGCCATCCAGGAATTGAAGGTTTGTCAATCCCTGCCCTCTCAGCCTTTCTCTTCCCAAACCATGTGTTTCAGTAAGTCAGGGTTGATCCAGCAAATCCCAGTCCAGATTTCAACTGCAAAATTAGCCAGCTGTGAAGTTGCAGGAATAGCTCATAAAACCACCCTCATTCCTGACACCAACTGCAATTTTGGAGAGCCTCAAATTTCAATACTTCACTAGAAGAATTCAAAGGGCTCACTAGAAGCTGTTATACTCACAGTTTATTACAGGAAGGGGACACAGATTAAAATCAACCAAGGGGAGAGGCACATAGGGCAGAGTCCAGGAAAAGTGCCACATGTGGCATAGATGGATGACAGTACATGCAGAGTACTGCCAACCTTGGAATCTCAAATAAGCCTTGGTATGGAGAGTCTTCACTGGGACCCGATCCTGTAGGTATGGTTGAGTGGAACATGTCTGATCTCAGTTTCCAGATCCTTAGAAGGTCACAATGGAACCATTCCACTGGCCCAAGGCTCTCATGCAAACAAAGACACTCTATCAGGCATAACATTCCAGGGCTTAGAAATTACCTCCCAGAAGCTGGGTGCAAAGACCAGACATTGTTTTTTTAGACAATGGTTAAATTTAAACTCGTGGTTAAATTGTTCACCATCTAACAAGTCTCAAGTGTGTTAGTCACTCAGTCATGTCCGACTCTTTGCAACCCCATGGACTGTGGCCTGCCAGGCTCCTCTGTCCATGGAATTCTCCAGGCAAGAATACAAGAGTGGGTAGCCATTCTCTTCTCCAGGGGATCATCCCAACCCAGGGGTCGAATCTGGGTCTCCTGCATTCCAGGCAGATTCTTTACCATCTGAGTCATCAGGGAAGCCCAAACAAGTCTCAGATCTTACTGAAAATATCCAGGAAGAACAATCTTGACAAGTACAAAATTTGTAGTATTTCTTTCCTTTCCAAATAAGCATATAGCTGGGTGAAGGATCATGTGTCTGAATCTGGATTTTCTGCATATCTTGAGAACTTGACTTAGTGGAAAGAGGAAGAACTTTGTGAACTGAATGAAGTAAATCACATGAGATTCACTAGTCTTCCCTAGAAAGTTCTGGATTTATGTGAGAGAAGAGTATCCTACCACTCACTGAAAAGCAATGAACATTCTGCTGAATTTTCAACTTCTTAATGTGGAAGCAAGCTTTCTCCTGTTTAAGGAGCATCAAGAACAGGGACAGATAACATCTCATTTCAGGTGAAAATGAAATCCCTGTACACTTATAACAAATTTGACCCAGGATTGAGTATTTGTGCAGTGAAAAAGAAAGCACAGGTTTTAAATGAAACACACAGATTTTATTCCTTCTTTTTAGTTTCAAAAATAATGTTTTATATGCACATATAGGCGTACAGAAGAAATGGCAACCCACTCCAATATTCTTGCCTGGAGAATCCCATGGACGGAGGAGCCTGGTGGGCTATAGTTCACAGGGTCGCAAAGAGTCAGACATGACTGAGCAACTTCACTTTTACTATATAGGCATACAAAAGAGATCAAGAAATTTATGTGTGTGCATAATAACTTTGTAATTGCTAAACTTTTATTTGAACCTGATCATGTCAGTTAGTGAGAACATTTTTCAGTCTTAATAAAACTGAAAACATTTTTCAGTCTTAATAAAATAGTGTCTTAGGGTATTTTTATTCATATTGCTATGGCTTGTGATTAATTGTTTTACTATTTAAAATTGTCAAATGTTTTTATATTATAAATAATATTAATTAAAATAATTTTACTACCCTTGTTTAAGTTAAATCTATCAAATTGACCTTTCAAAATTTGAATCCTTATTTTCGTTTAAGTCAGATATTTAACAGAAATGTATTGTGCTTGCCCTAAGAGTTTTTAAAATTTATGAAAAGGAAAGAAAGAGATTAATTTCAAGTAAGGTTACTTAATCTTTAGCTACCTGATTCTGTTCAAGACAAATTGGCCAAAAAAAAAAAAAAAAAAAAACCTTTCTGGCTTTAAATACAGATAATTACTCTTGCATATATTAAATACCATGTACCATATCTCATTAGTATTTCTTACAGTATGACTGTGTGATAAAACTTTTAGACCTACTTGGCTAAGATTTTTTTTTTAATCAAGTAGGATTTTTTTTTTTTAAGGGAAAAACCAAAGTCTCCTCGTGTGTACATGTTCAGTTGCTAAGTCGTGTCTGTCTCTTTGTGACCCCATGGACTGCAGCATACCAGGCTTCCCTATCCTTCACCATCTCCTGCAGCTTACTCAGTCTCATGTCCATTGTGTTGATGATGCCATCCAACCATCTCATCCTCTGTCACCCCCTTCTTCTCTTGCCCTCAATCTTTCCCAGCAGAGGGGTCTTTTCCAATGAAAATGTGTGCACTACTGACTTGTAATAGAGTAAATATCCTTTGTGGGGAGGGGAAATCACACAAAAAGAGTAGGGTAATAAATTGGCTACAGTAAACAGAAAAAAAAGCATCATCCTCTACGCAAAAGAACATGACAATTAATATTGGATTATCATATCTGTAACTTACTATCATAGTAGTGAACCATCACTTCTGCTGTAACAGTGTTTATGCTGGAATTACTTGAGACCTTCCCTTGAAAAATATTTCAAACATTCCTTGAAGATAGAAAGGTTGAGAATGGCCTCCCTAAGATCCTACTGTCAGCGTATCAGTGTGACAGGTTTCTGTGCTCACTTTCTAAGCACTCAGGGCTCTGGGGAACAAAATCCCCCTGACAGCCAAGCCCAGGTCCTACTACAATCTGATTTTTGTTCAACCTGAGCACCAGTACCCACTTGGATATCAGCTTTACTGCAAAATTGAAACACGGCTGCTCATCTCTGTGTATTCTCATGAGTTCCTCAGTCAAAAAGTACAGAATTGCTATTAAATAAGGTAAATATACTAAATGCTGACACAAAAAATTTCCAGGACACCTTATAACATGAAAAAAGCCAAGTTACAAAGTGGTATATAGTGTGAAGTACATTTATATAAATATACCAAGTTATATAGTTACATGAGTTCCTGGCTGATTATACGTTCAGAGATGTAGAGGTGAAGATAAAGATAAATTTGGTGGCAGAGAGATAATAGAAGGAAAAAAACTGCCCCATCAAGAACCATGGAAAATAAAGCAATTATAGGAAAAATATAATGTTAGATATAGCAAATGGGATGAGAACTAGTAAATAAAAAATTACAGTGTATGCATGTGTATATACATATATATTATGTTTATCTGTGCAAGTATAGACATAGTTATATATTTATATATAATTTTATATGATATTCCTAGGAGTCAATATCATATCATTGACTATGATATTCCTATATCTGCCTGAAGATGGGGAAAACTGGTTCTTTCTTGGGGCAGGAACATGGAGTTACACCTTCATGACCTGAATCATATTATTATTCATTCTGAATAAAATAATCAAAAAGATAAACAATACTTGCAAGAGTAGGTTCTAATGCCAGTTACCTGTCAAAGATGTAAATCACTTTTCCTCTCAAGAGCATAGGTGGGGCTTCAGTGGTGCCCTGGCGGAGTGGACAGGCCCTCCAGTTGGAGATATGTGTAACACACCAACTTACTGTGACCTAGGAAAGGCTGCCAAAGATGTCTGCAACAAAGCATATGGATTTGGCATGGTCAAATAGATCTGAGAACCAAATCATGTAGTGGAGTGGAATTTTCTACTTCTGGTCATGCTTAACACTGATACAGGGAAAGCATCAGGCAACCTATAGACCAAATACAAAATCTGTAACTATGGACTGACCTTCACCCAGAAGTGGAACACAGACAATACTCTTGGGATAGAAATCTCTCGGGAGAATAAGTTGGCTGAAGGGTTGAAACTGACTCTTGATACCATATTTATACCGAACACAGGAAAGAAGGGTGGGAAATTGAAGGCCTCATAAAACGGGATTGTTTCAGTCTTGGCAGTAATGTTGATACAGATTTTTCTGGACCAACCATCTATGGCTGGGCTGTGTTGGCCTTTGAAGGTTGGCTTGCTGGCTATCAGATGAGTTTTGACACAGCCAAATCCAAACTGTCACAGAATAATTTCACCCTGGGTTACAAGACCACAGACTTCCAGCTGCACATTCATGTGAATGATGGCACTAAGATTGGAGGGTCGATCTACCAAAAGGTGAATGAGAAGACTGAAGTGTCAATAAACCTTGTGTGGACAGCCAGCAGTAGCAACACCCGCTTCAGCATTGCTGCTAAGTACAAGCTGGACTGTAGAACTTCTCTCTCTGCTAAAGTAAACAATGTCAGCCTGATTGAACTGGGTTACACTCAGACCCTTCGACCAGGACTGAAACTGATCCTGTCAGCTCTAATCGATGGAAAGAAATTCAATGCAGGAGGGCACAAGGTTGGGCTGGGATTTGAACTAGAAGCTTAATGTGGTTTTGAATAAAGCATCAGCTTTGTCCCTGGAGGTGAAGAGAAATGAACCCACTATGTTTTGGCCTTAAAATTCTTCTGTGAAATTCAAAAGTGTGAACTTTTTATTCTTCCAAAGAATTATAATCCTCCCCACACTGAAGCTTAGGTACTGAGTCCTTCCTAAGGGAGGTGCTTGAAGGCGTGCCTGGAAGTTGTCACGTTCGTGCCATATTTCAGTTCAGTTCCTCAGTGTTATTTTCAATGTATTCCTCAGTGACGGTACAGTCTCATGTTACAAAGGAGATGACCCGACCCTCCAGCTGTCCATCATGTCCTGCATGTCCCACACCACTTTTTCATGACCTTGTAATATATTGGTCTCTGTACGGTAGTAGAATCTTTGGTTTTGCATCAGAGTAAAATAAAACAAACCCATCACATTTGAAACATAAATGGAAAAAAAAAAAGCATAGGTGGGGAACTCCCCAGTTGTCCAGTGGTTTGAGCTCCATGCTTCCACTGCAGGGGGCACGGGTTCAATCTTTGGTCAAGGGATTAGGATCCCACATTCTTGACAGCCAAAGAAACCCGTAAAACAACGACAACAACAAAAAGCATATGTGGACTCATAGCCAGAAAAGGCAAACTATACTAGGCATACTTTGGCAAGAAACTGCCTGATACAGAAGGATTGTCTCTGTATATTTAAGACTGACTCTAAAACTGGCTGCAGAATCCTTGTTAATAAGACTTCAGTTCAGTTCAGTTCAGTCCGACTCTTTGCGACCCCATGAATTGCAGCACGCCAGGCCTCCCTGTCCATCACCAACTCCTGGAGTTTACTCAAACTCATGTCCACTGAGTCGGTGATGCCATCCAGCCATCTCATCCTCTGTCATCCCCTTCTCCTCCTGCCCCCAATCCCTACCAGCATCAGGGCCTTTTCCAATGAGTCAACTCTTCACATGAGGTGGCCAAAGTATTGGAGTTTCAGCTTCAACATCAGTCCTTCCAATGAATACTCAGTACTGATCTCCTTTAGGATGGACTGGTTGGATCTCCTTCAGTCCAAGGGACTCTCAAGAGTCTTCTCCAACACCACAGTTCAAAAGCATCAATTCTTCGATGCTCAGCTTTCTTCACGGTCCAACTCTCACATCCATACACGACCACTGGAAAAACCATAGCCTTGACTAGACGGACCTTTGTTGACAAAGTAATGTCTCTGCTTTTTAATATGCTATCTAGGTTTAACTTTCCTTCCAAGGAGTAAGCGTCTTTTAATTTCATGGCTGCAATCACCATCTGCTTAGGGAGGCCCAAATGAAAGCAGGATGGGGAAAGAGGCTCCACAGTTTTCATCTTCAGTCCACATTTAGATACCCTCCTATGTCCATAAATGTGTTGGGTCAGAATTCAAAATTATTTAAGTTCACAACATTTGATCCATTCCATTACTGAACCAGTAATACACACACACACACACACACACACACACACACACAGCTATATAGATATATTAATAGATATCTTAGAAGTTAAGAGCATGGGACTTGGAAACAAATCCCATTACTAATGGACAGTGATGATATGTGGTTCGGCAAGTTATTTAACTTCTCTATGACCCAGTTTCCCTATGTGTAAATGGGGATAGTATCACTTAGCTCAATGTATTTTTATAAAGATGAAAATACTTAATGAATCTGAGTTTGATACACAGTAAGCACTTAAAAAAAAAAAAAGGCAACTGGATCCTCCTTGGAAGAAAGAGGCTGATTGTAATAGAAAACACCATCAGCTCGACCACACATCTGCTTCCTCCAGCTAAATCTTAAGCTTTGACTCTTTGGGTCTCAACACACAAGACTCATGATGCCATAAGAGCCTCAAGGCATTGACAGAGAAATGTCATTTTTTAAAAGAGAACTCTGAACAAAATATGCAAACCTGACCTTGGAGGAGTATAAAATATTGACTCTGCCCTTAAGGTGCTTTCAGCCTGAATGGGGGTGGGAGAAGTCACAGGGCTGAGACAGAGGTTTTGGTTGGAAACACCAAACAGGTATATCTAAGAAGCCTTCCCTGCAGATAAAATCACCTTCAGAGGAGATGATGCCTGTGCTGAGTCTGCAGCAAAGAGTAGGAGCAATCCAGAGGAAGAGAATGTAAGTATAGAAATATAGGGATAGTGTTACATTTCTTGTAAAAGGAGCTTGTGATGACAAAGAGAAACAGGCCAGGGACAGATTAACAAAATCCAAGCCTTGGAAACCAAGGAATTTAAACTATTAGAAAAGTCGGTGGAGATGGAGAAGGAAACAGCAACCCACTCCAGTATTCTCACCAAGAGAACCCCATGGATAGATGAACTGAGCAGGTTACAGTCCATGGCGTCTCAAAGAGTTGGACACAACTTAGTGACTAAGTAACAACAACAACTGAATAGCACAGGGAACTATATTCAATATTCTGTGATAAACCATAATGGAAAATAATATTAAAAAAGAATAATATATATGTATGTATGTATCTGAATCACTTTGCTGTCCAGCAGAAATTAACACAATATTATAAATCAACTATATTTCAATACAATTTTAAAAAAAGAAAAAAGCTGATGGAGAGCCATTGTTGAATTTCAGCAATGAGATGGACTTGATCAGATTTTCATCTTGGAAAGATCACCTCAGCTTAGTTTGGAAGCAACAGCAGAAAAGAAGCTATAACTCTACTCCAGGCAAGATGCATGACCACCTCAGTAAGATAAAGTAACAGTGGGATGAAGAGGAGATCAGCTTACACAGAGCAGATATACTTTTGGCAGGACTTGGTGACAGTTGGATGTGGAAGAAGTGAGAGGAAGAATCATGGCTGACTCTGAAGTTTTTGACTTGGACGATGGAATGAACAGCGGTTAACACAAAATACAAGAAAAGGAACAGTGGTCTTGGAAAAAATGAGTAAAGTACTGTAGAAAAGTCACAGAGGTCACCGTGCACTATGATGATTATGAAAAGTGTTTAAGAGGTCTAGTCTGATGGACACAATATGATTTGGTGTCTTTAAATATCCTAATTTGGGGCTTGGACGGCTCAACAAAGTGAAGGCTAGAAAGAGAGCATGGCGATCTGGTGGGTGTGTCCTGGAGGAGGAGGAAGGCATGGCCTGAGCTAAAGCCCAGAGAGGAGTGGCCAGCTGCCCAAATACCGAGGACCTGCACACCCGAGAGCTATTACTGTCACCGAGATTCTCTCCAGGCATCAAGCAAAGCACCAGGGGCTCACCACCAATGCATAAATAGAATATTTTATACAGATATATATTCTTCCCCATGATACCAAGTGTCCCACCCACTTGGCCAGAGAATGCTATAGAACAATACATGGGCAAAGACTTTCCAAGTAGGCACACATATTCTCAAGAAATTGATTTCCTCATTTATTTGAGAGTTTAGGGCTTCCCTAGTGGCTCAGCTGGTAAAGAATCTGCCTGCAATGCAGGAGACCTGGATTCAATCCCTGGGTTGGGAAGATCCTCTGGAGAAGGAAATGGCTACCTATTCCAGTATTCTGGCCTGAAGAATTCGATGTACTTTATAGTCCATGAGGTTGCAAAAAGTCAGACACAACTGAGCAACTTTCACTTTCATGAAAGTTCAGAAAAGGCAAATATATATAAAATTAATAGAGGCAGAAAGTAGATCAGTGGTTGCCTGGGGCTGAGGGTAAGAATGGGGATTAACTATAAAGGACTGGAAGGATCTTATCGGAGTAATGAAAATGTTTTCTAAGACTATCTTAATGAGATTGTTGCAATGTCACTGTATACTTAATTTTTATATGTAAAATATACGTCAGTAAATTTGCTTTTTAAAAGGGAAATCAATCTGCAGATCTTCAACTTCTATCTGTGGTCTTTTTGAAAAATGATCTGCCTGAGAATGCACCTGTGTTCAAAGTTATGCAGAATCTCCTTTTCTACCTCCCCTTCCCATTAGCCAAACTTAAAAAGGGAAGAAAGTCACATTATTCTACTGTGACTCAGAGTGAAAAAACTTCCCAGTTGCCAAGAAAAACATTCTAAATACCGGTTTCTGGGATGCTTCATTTAATATTTAAATGCCTTAGGGTTTCTTATCTTTCTCTAGTTTATATTTAATTTTGTTAAGAGTATAGCCTGGTATTAGAAATTAAGTGTTTCAGCTTGTGTTGCGCTGTTGTGAATTTAGATGGGGAGGGCAGTGGGTATGTGGATAATTTTCATTTAAGGACCTTTCCATAATTCAGCTCTCATCAAGAAACACGTATGGGGGGTGGGATGAGGAGTTATACAGGAACAAAGCAAAGATAATATTGATACCAAAAAAAGTCAGTGTTGAAACTGATGTTTTCAAGAATTGAATTGGCTAGATATTGAAGAGGTTCAGAACAAGCTTCCTCAAACCATGCCACTTTGTCATTTGGATTATTTTGACTTGAAGTCAATCAAAGCCTAAAAGACTCAAGGAGACCTTTTTATAATTATACCTGTACTTTCGATGCCTAAAACAACTTAGACAGAGAGCCTAGTCTAGGAAGAGAACTATCACCAAAGATAACCACAAAGAATACGGGCCAAAGATATGGGAAGCTGGCAGGGAGGTTCAAAGTCCTCTCTATGTCCCTATTGTCTCTGCATGGCAGGGCAATAATTTATTTACCAAACATTTGCTCTTCCCATCTTCCTATGAATTATCTTCCTTCACTTTGAAGCCCAGACCCCTACCTTCTCTCTTTAGCTCATAATGACATGTAAGCCTCAACTGCCTGACTGTCTTTGACCCTCTTATATCTATGTGAGGTTCCCACAAGTATGAAGTTACAGTTGTTTTTCTCCTGTTAATTTGTCTTATGTCAATAGAGAGGGCATATGTGTGTCTTTGGAGCCAGATGGCCTAGATTCAGATTCCAGATCTGACTCTTACTAGCTGGGTCACCTCGGGGAAGTTCTTTAACCTTTCTTTGCCTCATTTTGCCC